AGATTGCTTATTTTTGTTTTTTTAAAAATTTTGTTTATTTTGTTCACTCTTGAATTCCAAGCACCTGGAACAGTTTCTGGCCTACAGTAGGTGTTCAATATATATTTATTTTGTTGAGTTGATGAAAAAATAATGAACACATTAGAAATTTATCATGCACTGTTCTAAGCACTTCACATGCATTAACTCAATCCTCAGCACTATCCCATGCAGTAGGCCACTATTAATACAATTATTCCCTCCCCGCCCCCCTTTTTTTTTGGAGACAGAGTCTCACTCCGTTGCCTGGGCTACAGTGCCATGGCATCAGCCTAGCTCACAGCAACCTCAAACAGCTGGGCTTAAGCGATCCTCCTGCCTTAGCCCCCTGAGTAGCTGGGACTACAGGCATGTGCCACCATGCCTGGCTAATTTTTTTCCATATATTTTTAGTCGTCCAGCTAATTTCTTTCTATTTTTAGTAGAGACAGGGTCTCACTCTTTCTTGCTCAGGCTGGTCTCGAACTCCTGACCTTGAGCGGTCGTCTTGCTTTGGCCTCCCAGAGTGCTAGGATGACAGGCATGAGCCACTGTGCCTGGCCCAGTTATCCCCTTTTACAGGTGAGGAAACTAAAGCACAGTTAAGTAACTTGCCCCAAGTCCCCTGGCTTGCCAGCGATGAAGCTGAGGTATAAACCCAGGCAGTCCATTTCCTGAGTCTTGCTCTTAAGCTCTACTCCTATCACAAACAAAGCTAATCTGGGCTGGAGCACTCAAGAGGAAAAAATATGGCATCACTGGGAATGACACAACTGGCAAGAAGGAGGGTCACAAAATTTAAAACTGGCAAGATATATCCAAGAAGAGACATTGCTATGAAGTGAACATCTCCCATAGGCCTGTGACCGGACGGTGAGAAGACACGAAATGGATGTGGCTTTTAGTGGACTTTCATATAGCAGAAGTTTTAGATTATTCTCTTTAAAAGGGATGGCACAGGGACCAAGAAATAAAACCTATTCATTTGACAGATTCAATGCAATCTAAGGAATTTTCAACAATTCTGCCCAAGTATAAAATCTTGTACCACAAGAAGGATCATGTTCCCTTCCACAGAAAATATTCAAACAGAATTCATATAATATTCATAACACAAAAGGAACTTGTAAAGAGACTCACACCTGTGGATGCTTGGACCGGTTTCCTTTGCAAAGACCCTTTCCTCCACCCAGATATTTTATTATACATTTTGACTTCAAGTAAGTGAAAGTGCTTACAAAATAGTAGTGCTATTCCCAGGAGTATCGCAAGGATGGCCCATTTTCCAAGTACGACTCCTGCACTCCGTGAAGTCGAGCGACACTGACTTGGATGAGTACAGTCACACAGATTAACTCTCAGGACTTTTGTGGCAGATTGACCTGCTCTGTCTTTTACAGTAACAGGAATAGTATATTCTTGAAATTGAGCATTTTTCTGATATGAAAGACGGGCAGCTGTATCTGAAAGAAAATTTTAAAATTTTATTTTTTAGTGATCATTTATTCCTCCCTCAGCATCTATTTCACCACAATTGCGCCACTCTCAAGGAACTGCCTGTCACATGAAAATAAAGAGAAATGGAGGACTATGTTCGACCTTTTCAAGCACTAATAATTACCTTATATGTGTTGTCCCTTGTAACTCTTTAGAAGAGAGCCCTAAAGAAATAATTTGGCATTGGAATGACCCAGTAGTATTCCGCAATATTTAATATTTTTTATTCTATACAAACTAATAATGCTAGGTTGGCTCTTAATATACAGTTAAAGCATTTTTCTTTAGTATCAGTTTATAAAATCATAAAGAATTAACACCTTCAGGTATGCAAAAAGAGTGCTGGAAGTTCACATTCTCTTATCATTGACCTTCTAGTATCTGTCCATTTTCTTATGGATAAGGTAATTTTTCAAAGCACAATAGATTTTTTTATGATTAATGCCTTGCATCTGGAAGCAATCTCAATACCAGAAAGCTAATTAATGTCACTCAGGCTAGTTATAGGGCTTACATAAAAACAGGTACATCTATATCATAACTGTGATAGTCAATTTCCCCCAATAGTCTTGATATCTTATTTTAATGACCTTCTTATCAACTGACCAAAAGCTCCATAGACCCTCAATGACAATTACAACATCCATGAGTTTTTATAACAGACTAACTAAAATGACAAAGTAGCACAATGTACATCCCAGAAGTCATCTGGAATTTCTGAGCCTCGATTAACTGCACTGGTGTAGCTGTAAGAACTTCAAAGATTTTGGCTACACCTCATACCTGAAAGCTCCTGAGGGGAATATGAATTATGACTTGGGTTTATTTGGGACTCTTCAAGACCACGTTATGTCTAAGGTAAGATCCTTCAGGTCCCTCTCCTCCGTCAAGACCACAAGTGGACCCACAGTCAGGTCTTAGTTATTCACAGTAGTTCATCAGCCTCCGATCTTCCTTCACTCAATTCTGCCCTTTTTAAATTGTCCTCTTGACTGTTACCAATGCCACCTATAACAGACATAGATCTGGGAATGGCGTTGCCTTACTTGCACATTCCCTGTGCATAGCTACTGTCACCTACTGTGCAAAGGTCGGTCTCCCCAGCCTGGCACATAGGCCTTTCACCTCCAGATGCCACCCTCCCTCTCACCCAAACTCTTGGCATTCTTACTAAAACCTTCGAAATTCTAATGACAATGACATACTTATTCCCCTAGTATGTTTTTTCTTCTTTTATGTATATTATTAATCAATTATTGATTAAACAAACATTTATTAAGCAGTTAGTATCTAATAAGCACTAGGCTAGGTGCTGGAAATATAAAGACAGGTTACAAATGTTCTGAGAAACTCATGTATTGGAGGAGAGAGGTAATGAGATGATGATACAACATGAAAGGTGCTATAACACAGGTAGCAAAAGGTCAAGGTGCCACTCCTTCCACGTCAAGAAAAACTTCAGAAGTTGGGCATCTTAGCTGGGGTTGTGTCTATCTTGTTCATCTCTATGTAAATCCTCAGGATCTGGAACAGTGCCCAGTAGATAGTAGGTGCTCATAAATATTATGAATTAATATCAAGCTGAGAAATGGGGAAAAAAGATATTCTAAGTGGAAGGGGCAGTACACACAAAAGTCGAGTTGCATGAAGAGCATGACATGGTAACAGAACAGCAGAGTGGAGTGTGAATGAAATACAGAATACCACATCCCCCAGAAACTGCTATTATAGGAGGCAGTCCCTGAAAGCTCCAATGCCCGATCCCTTCCCATATCCCACCAAGTTCACTTCCAGAAACTTCATAGAGTGTTTGTCCCATGCACCCAGATTCTTCACTTCCAAAGTCAGCTTACAATACAATTTACACTGACATCTTCTGGTCTCTCCTCACCTCACTGGTATTACTTTACAAACACAACAAAAAAAGTATAAAACTGCCCAATATGTTAACAAAACTCTTTTGTCTTTGTTGTAAATGTAAATTTTGCCTTCATAAAAATTATGGTTTCCTTCATTTTATACACAATCTATAACACTGCCCCCACACAATATTTGTAAGAAGGTTAATTTAACCTTCCAAAATATATTAAGGAGAATCAATTTTACTTTATGCTTTGTGTAAGTAAACAAGTAAATCCATTCTCTAGTTATTCTCGGTTATTTCAGAGTATATAAATCATTATGTTTGATTAAATACCATTAACTTTGGTGAGGGTCCATATTCTATTGATTTCTGGAGAGGGGTTTGACAAACTGAAATAAAATGGAGGTCCGTGGACAGGTTCATCGGGGTCAATAGCTGAAATGTCGGTATACCCCATCTTTGGTTTGCAAATCGTTAGATAATCTTGAAGTATTTCTGGTGCGTTATCATTCACATCTTCAATGTTCACAGCAAGTGTTCCCGTACATGATCTGCCATCTAAGAAGAAATGAATAAGCGTAAGTGTTATTTTTGAATCGTTTCGCAGTTTCTTAAAGAAAGTCATTTAGGCTGGGCGCGGTGGCTCACGCCTGTAATCCTAGCTCTCTGGGAGGCCGAGGCGGGCGGATTGTTTGAGCTCAGGAGTTCGAAACCAGCCTGAACAAGAGCGAGACCCTGTCTCTACTAAAAATAGAAAGAAATTATCTGGACAACTAAAAATATATAGAAAAAAAAAATTAGCCGGGCATGGTGGCGCATGTCTGTAGTCCCAGCTACTCAGGAGGCTGAGGCAGTAGGATTGCTCGAGCCCAGGAGTTTGAGGTTGCTGTGACTAGGCTGACGCCACGGCACTCTAGCCCAGGCAACACAGTGAGACTCTGTCTCAAAAAAAAAAAAAAAAGAAAGTCAGTTATATTCTATATGTGATATGTGTTTTTTAATAAACTATGATTATTAGAGGAAATAGTAAAAAAATAAGAATATAGATGGATAAATGAAATCAGGTAATCTAAAATGATTACCGCTGTCGGCAATAGCAGATACAATTGCCAATCTACGTTTCACCAGAATTACTACCAAATAATAAAAATAAATGCCTGAATTTCAAACTCTATTTCCTTGGGTTCCTGGTGCAGATGTTAATGAGCAGTAAAGCCACTACCTAAAAGTTATTCTAATCTTAGTACACATTCAAACCACTTAGGAAGATTTTTTTAAATATATCATGCCCAGGCTCCACAACTAGAGATTCTGATTCACATAGTCCAAGGCAGTGTCTATAGATTGATAGTTTTATTTTAATATGAAGCTGGGGTTGTTGAGAAATTCTAGGTTACTTTGAGGAGCAGAATTCAAGGAAAAGATCATTTTGACCTAATAATGAGCTGAACTATTTAAAGGCGTAATTTAAACTGACACAAAGAGATGCAGAGGAGTCTGACGAGACCATTTTATCTAGTTCTAGATTTGTCCCCTAATACAGAAACATATAAGCATTTAAGGTCCTGCCATGCTGGGAATATAAAGATAAATAACACATGGCTTATTGTCACCAAGCAGCTTCACCTTGTTAGATAATTAAGAGAGACAAAAACAGAGTTCTTTAAGTCATTTCAAAGAATTCCATATACTTATCACAAGAATAATGCTGCATAAGAATATTGCATTTTATTCACCAAGTCTTTTATAAAATACCAGATTAAAACTTTTTTTTTTACCTCGGTCTATTGCCAGGACTGTAATATTATATAGACCATGTTTGGGAGGTACGGCCTCCCTGTCCAGGATTTTGGAAGTTGTGATTGACCCTGAAATTTCATCAATGGCGATCCACCCTTTAGGATCATGCAATATTTTATACCTGTTAATGAAAAATAAAACAGTCTTTAGCATTGTACAATGTTTTAAAATAAGTCACTATCTCAATTATTACGAATACATTATTAGTATGTGGTTATAGATTTCTTTGTACCTTAAACCATTGCTATTTCTGGTTTCAGGGTCATATGCCTGATAGCCTTTGATATTTGACCCCACTGCTAAGTTCTCTTTAATCCGCAAATATTGGGCCGGAGGGCTGCATTCAGGCCCCTCGTCCACGTCCTTCACGTGGACTGTAACCAAGGCTCTGTTCATGGCTGTCACTCTAGGTGCATCTCTAGTCAATGGAACTTCATTGCTTACTCCAATTTCCAGGTTCACTTGATGGTTTTCTTCATAATTCAGTGGCTTTAAAATAAAGCACATGTATATCGGCATCAGTGTAAAAGACATTTGGCATTTCAAATAGCAAGTGAACTTTTGTCAATACGAACAGTGCTGCATAAATTCTATGTTCACGTTCTGTTAATATTGACCTTTATCCCTTGCTAAAAAGAGAGTTGGTCCTGTGCTAAGCCTTTAGCAAGAGCAGTCCAAATGTTTCTGCAGGTGGTTTTATAGAGTTGTGGAAATGACATTCCCGAAATATTTTTCTATTTCACTCTTACTAAGGAAAATTATCCCGATCCTGGAAATAATGTAAACAGATGAAAGTGTCCTTATGGTCCTGCTTAGAGCACAGTCTAACAGGCTGGCCTAAGTGTCATCCAACTAGGAGAAGGCACTGTTTGACTTGCTACTTACTATTGACTATGGCCCAGGCGTTTTATAAGTCTTGTAGGGTTAGATGATGATTTTAGCAAAACTGAAAAGGTGCAGTGATTTTATTTTCTGTCTTATAGAAAATACATTCCAAATGTTTATTTTTAATTGCCCTATAAGGTATCTAACTGAGCCATCTCATTTCAGCTTTTCCTTTTATCAAAATCCATCCAGAGTCTCATTTCTTCTTAGGAATCTGCTTTGTCTTTTTGCTGGTTCCTTCATGAATGAGCTAAATAAAATTTTTAACCATGCTCCCTACCTATTTTTATGAAAATTACACTTTTGACAATTTGAGAATTCTACCTTGGTACTGTCTGTAGTTTATCCAATGAAGCCTTCACAGTGGATACACGAGGAGTAAGAAAAATCGAATGTGCTTAATTTTAATCATTGTTAAGCATATAGCACTACTCTAAATAGTGAGAATAAACTCATTGAATCCTCACACCTTTATGAGATAGGTATTATCATCGACCTTGTTTTACAGAGCAGGAAACTGGAGAAGAAGGAGGTAAACTGATTTTTCTAAAGGCCAAAATGTATTCATTTGAGTTTGAGTTTAAAGCCAGGTAGTCTGGCCTGAGTTCTTTTCCTTAACCACCAGGCTAAAATCCCTCTGCTATGTTGTGCTGCAATAATGGGCTCACCAGACTCCAAAGATTTTTAAATCAATCTTTGATTGAAATTGATTTTTTTGACAGCAAGTCGAGCAAAACACTATTTTACACTGTACTGTAAAGTTTAAGCACTTTTGGTTTGATTTGGTTTCTGCTTATCAAAACAGTCAGTGGCTAAACATTGAACAAAGTCAACACTGGTGAAAAAAAGTATTTTAAACCTTTTCCCACACCTAGGTATTTACAGATTGAGATACTGATATCATGAGTCCACTAAGAAGTCAAGAAAATTCCTGAACTTTAGAATCCACAAAACGTATGAGAAACTCTTTTAATTTTTATGACTAGCCCAGAAACTGGAGAGCCAAGAGGGGAAAAAAATATCTGTTTATTTGATGCTGCTGAACACGGCTTCACAAATTACACGTGTTGGTATGATCATGCAGAGCAACTACTGGCAATGAGAAATGGATGGAAATTTAGGGAACAGCTGCTGCACTGAAGGAGGTGCAACTATTCAATCCAGAGCTACTTGCTAAAGCCTTAGAGTTTCTCTGCGCAGTTTTTCAAGGCTTAAGATGGATATTGCCTTAGTGACTTAAAACTCTGCAAGACTAAAAATCTAGTGAGATGAAATCCCAATGATTAATGAAAGCATGAGAATTCTCTTCTACCTCAGGGTATGCTTTTGTTTCATCACTTAAAAAAAAGTTGTTCAAAAGTATCCCAAATCTGCACTGAGATTTTAACAACTCCCTAGAAAGATGTATAGTCGTGGAGATGGAACTAAGGACTCTCCAAGCTGAGAGATGAGAGAGATGAGTATAATATCATCCTCACTCGAGGCCATGTGCACCACTGCTGCTACTAAAATGGACAGCAAACACTGAGATGGAAAGACTAGTCGGGACTCAGCTAAACACTGTTTATCAGCTCATGCTCTACGGTTTCAGAAAAGTTACCTATTATGGAAAATTATACCACTAGTCCCAAGAACACAGTATAACTTTTTAAAGTGAAGTAATAACATCCTACAGTTTACCAAGTGCTTTTACTTTCATTATTATATTTGAATAACTATTAGGAAAGCAGAGAGAAGTATTATTTTCATCTTACAATTAATACAGAGGCTAACTTTCCGAGACCACATAGTTATGTAAAATAATTTAACATAGTGCTTGAAGAGCACATATTTGTAATCAAAGAGACCTAGTTTCAAATTCTGTCTACACTGCATCCTAGCTGTGTGACTTTGGGGAAGTTTCTTAATCTTTCTGAGACTAAGATATCTCTTCTGTAAAGTTGTTGTAAGAATGACAGTTAACACTATGGCATAGAGTAAGTGCTTTACACTATAGTTCTTAGTAATCTCTCAAGCTGTCACACAGGCCAATGAAGAGAATAAATGATGTGTTTCTTGTTAACAGCCAATACCATGCAATAACAAGAGACACCAACTAACAAGACAATGTTTGCAAGCTTTATTCAGCTAAAAGAAGTATACCTGAGCAATTCTTGGTTCAGCCGACTAATTACTTAATCCTTTTAGGGTTTAAAGGAAGGAATTAACATGCACACCTCTCTTGAACATAATTTTTTTTTTTTTGAGACAGTCTCACTCTGTGACCCCAGCTGAAGTGTAGTGGTGTCACCATAGCTCACTGCAACCTCAAATTCCTGGGCTCAAGCAATCCTCCTGCCTCAGCCTCTCAGGTAGCTGGGACTACAGGTGTGTGCCACCACACCTGGCCGATTTTTTCTACTGAACATAATTCTGACTAACAAGAAAAAACAACCAGGGTATTGTAAAAGGATTCCTTTAGAGTTACCAACATAATGATATCATTCTTTAACCAACCCATAAAAGGTTAGTCGTCATTAGGTACATAGCCTACATGACTGAAGATGGATTTCAAATGCTGTGATTATACAGTGTTTGATTTTAAAATAAAAGATGACTCATTGATGCTAGAAAGTACCTAAAGATATACAACTACACAATCACAACTACGCAATCACAACTCTTTTTCAAGGAAATTAATAAGATACCTTCAAAGACCAGTGAAGCTGCTAAAAGAGCTCTGTGATGAATTCAGATTTTCTAAGAGTTTGGATAAAATATGAAAAGGAGGACATGACATAGCAAATGCAAATTTTGTTAATCAAAATGTTAGCAAATAATACGAATGACTCAAAGAAAAAAGGTAAGGTTAGCAAAGGAGCCAATAATGACAAAAGGAAGATATAATTTAAAAAGTAAACTCATAAAAGTCAAAATTAATGTAAGTTCCAATAAGAGAAGATCCTCTTGGACAAATGAAGTTAGGGATTTATCTAGCCAAGTAACACAAGTGTGGAAAAGAGGAGACATGAGAGATCCAAAGATACCAAGGAGAAGGAAGGAGAACAGCACAGGGATTATGAGTAAGGTTCTGTATCAGACAGATCTGGGTTTGCATCCTGGCTGTATGAACAGTGCTATCTGTCCTGGACAGTTTGGACATTCGACCTCCTGAATGTGGGGACATAAATCACCTATCTCAGCTGCAGGAACCACAGCATGTTACTTCTCTTTAACTCAGCCTCCACATCTGGAAATGCGAAGAAGGAAAGTAACAACCACATGGGCTGTGGTGAAGGCTAAAATCCTTAAATTCAATGTTGTTGGAACTTTTTGGACATCGTTTCAGGGCATGGATAAAAGGAAAACAAATTTGCTTTATTTTTATGAAGCAAACATAAATTGATAGTAAAAACTTAGCAGCTGTGCAAAAAAAGAAAACTACAGACAAATCCATGTGTAGATATAGATATAAATACTAAACAGAAATTAGAAACAAAAGCCAACAGGAAAGAACATTAAAAAAATAATACAATATAGATAGTACTTTTTTCCAAGAATGCAAAGATTGTCCGACAGTAGAAAATGTATCAATATAATTCACTATATTAATTGATATAACATTGGTCTGGCACCCAATTAAGTAGTAAATTAAAAGTATTGGAAAGAAGTAGGTAAAATTATCTCTATTTGCGTATATACTGCATGCATCATCTGTGTCTACATAGAATATCAAAGGAATCAATTCAAATAGAATTACAAACAACCAGACAAGTTAATAGGTTGGTTGAATACAAAATGAATATACATATATCAGCAACTTTCATATATACAAACAACTAGTTAGAAGCCATAATAAAAAGCCCCATTTCAATATAAATAAAATTTCTATAAATAAACTTAACTAGGTAATGTGCATAATATAAGCAAATTAACTTTATAACACCTGAAAAAAATAAAATTATGATCTAAGGTATGACTTAATATGAGAAAAA